TTTACATTCAAAGAAATCTAGAGCTATAGCAATATTTATGCAATTTAATACTCTTGTGGGCTTTTATTTATACACCCACTCACCCACAGCTTAACTTCTCAACAAGCTAGGCACATTGGCACAAATCGACAGTTAGCCCAGCCTATTAAGTTGCACTGCACCCTACTGGGGCTTTGGTGGCATGCTAGTTGCACCACCGACTTTGGTGGTGCAATTGTCAGAACAAGGGCATTCTGGGTGAGATTGTGGGCCGGTTCAATTATCACCACTTCAATGGTCAACACTCAGTTTTCTCTAGAGGGGGCGTTGACAGGCTGTCTGGGGATTAGCCTCAAACACAACCCTCCAGTCATAAGGTGACTGCCAGAGAGCCTTTTACACAATTGCAATCAGATTGTGCTGCATTGAACTGGATCAGCTACAGAGAAAATATACATTTTGTGGGTTGCGAATCTAATATTATACAATACTATATAGTTGAGGATCCTTTGGAATTCAAGAACATCAACAATGTCAAACTGTACACAACACACTAGAAAAACAAAAATAAACAAATCACTGCATCACAAATTTAATAAATATACAAAATCAAGCAGTAGTCTTAATAGTGACAACACTACTGTACACACAGCTCTGTATGAAAATTTTGTCAATTCAGTGATTGTTGGCTGAAAATATACTATTCAAGTATTTACAACTTTGATGTATTTTTTACCAGCAAATCTCTTTGGCTGGGACTCAACATGGGCTTTTGATTCTGGTGTTAAATTATTAAAGGATGCTTCCCTGTTTGAAATTATTCTTTCTCCTGTTGTGTGGAGCTCGTAACATTCTGTTCTTAAAATATGAAAACTATTTCTTGTACTTGACCAAGATTACATGCACACATATAATTTGCAACTAGCATAATATGAAGATATATTACAGTAAATGATCGCACTTTTGTTATCATCAATAGATATAGAAAGAATATTGAAATCTCAAGGCAAACCAAACAGCAAACACTCACCCCTGCAAACACACATTTCTACGCTTCCAAACGGTGAACTTTCTTCTTCCAGACTTGATGATAATAAACCGATGAATCGAAATTTTTAAACGAATTGAAACAGTATAGTGAGCGCACTAAAGATCAAAGTGACAGTATAAAACTACATTCGAATGATAGTTCTTGAAACGACCGTTCCAAATCATCCATAATTGCGATCACAGGTGCGATATTTTTTCAAAAATTTTCACATTTTCAAGCCAATACGTATTTGTCACTTTTTGCAAAAGTGAGCAGCTGAAATCTACATATTCTCCCAGGCGCTTCGCTAACCCGCTGCGTCCTCCCCAAACACCCCCGCGCGCTCGCTTATCTTAGCCACTGATCTATATAAAAACACTGTAGTGTGCCTATTTTTAGTTAATTGCGCCTGGGTACGAGGCTGTATTATAGCTATGATAAATATACCATCACAGATTTGTACATTCCTCGACTGAATCTTTATCACTGCATGCCTCTGGCCTTTGCCTTTCAGTTCGTATACGTAATCTTTATCTTGGTGAATGGTTACCTGACGCGAATACTTGCAATCTTTCTGCACTAAATTAGTTGCGGTGGCCAACGAGCTATAATTAGGCAGTAAACATAATTAAAAACAGCTTTACATTAGAGTGAGGTATATTAGAGTAAAAAAAAGACAAAGGCCATTTACTAGCCACGATATCATGATGCCCGTGAATACCTACAGTGTATTGTGTGTGTATATATATATATATATATATCAAAAGTAAATAAACTCAGTTTCTAAATTCCCTTAGAATATTGATAAATAGGAAAATTATTTACCTGCAATTGACATTATTAGTATCCCTATACGAATTTTATAAATCTTTGCCAAAGCGAATCTGTACCCACACTGTATTCATTTAGTAACTATAGTTGTTCGCTATGTCCCTAGGATATACCATCGTCTGTCGATATACTGTATTGTCTATTGAATCAATTTCTACACTAGTTCTGTTATTCTGCGGGATTAGACTTTGGAATATGAACACATGCACGCGCACGGAAACTTAGAATTCAAATTAAGATTATGAATCAGGCTCAACCAATCAGGACGTGACAATTGACAATAAAACATATATTTGACGGCAACCTCTGTGTCGTCTGCCCACGCACGAGCCTTTTAAATAGATTGTCACCGCGGAGTGTTAAAATTTTAAGATATGGTTAGACTGGTCATTATACTATTTTGCAAATTTATGTTGCCGATACAAGATAATTAGAAAGACTGTTAATTCAGACAAAGAGCTATGGGATATGAATTGAGATTCGGCCGTAAGATGAAGCGACGGCCACCAGGTAAATCATACAGCAGTTCTATTTATTATGAATTCAATTGTGTATTGCGTGAATTATGAAATAGTATTTTATTCATGTTGCAAACTTAATGCGCGCAATTTGCTGAAGTAATGCGACAACTGTAGTGTAAATCATTTGCGGTTTGCACCGATATTAATCATAGTGTACCGCAGTTACTCAACTACAATGTGTATACAATACATATCATGTTAGCTCTATTATTTTCTTATACCTTCACTAACGTTTTCTCTAAAGACTTGAATTGCACTGATTTTATATCAAATTTCATTCGTTGTGGAGTGTGTATATAGGCCTTCGAATGCATTACACTTCATTTAAGTGATTTAACTATAGTAAATTATCTCTGGCTTAAGTCTATTTTCAACGCGTCGATACGTTATTCATATCTTTCTAGTTTATTATAATAGCTACATGGTTACTGCAGCTTTTAGCGCAGAAGTATTGTGAGTATTCGACTCCAGTATACATTCATGCTGTGCATGCATGGTCGAAGATAGCTATATGTATATTATATAGCTACATATCACAGTCTCGTAAAGATACAAGCATGGACTGTGTAACCGATAATAAAAACGATTTTTGCGGATAACATGTAGCGCGGCATTATATTTCAGTTTATTTACCATACCGCCAAACGAATGTTCTACAAGTGTTTATATCGCGTCTTGTCGTGCGCTATACTAACCCGAAATTAATGAAGCTATATATGTTTTCCATAATCCAAAGCTGCAGACAAGTAAATCTTTGAAAACTATTGCCAACGATCTGAAAATAAAATACGCTATCAGGCAGAGAGTTTATGTAGTGGTATTCATAAAGACTAGGCTTGTATTTCGCTATAATTTCAGGTGTTTGCCATGCAAAGACTCGTCAATCGCCATATAGTAGTTCGCATTGCAAGTATTCATAACGTTACTCTGTTTGAATTTGCTGATGAGAAATCGGTTGATTATGCGCACCCATGCTCCAAGGATTTGGGCCATTTGGCATGAAGACCAACTCATCACAATTGTACTGATCTACTATGTGCTTTGACCAATTAACCGCAAAACATTATTGTCGTTTCATTTTTCCTAGGCCAGATAAGTAAATATAGCAGCTCGTGAAGCCTCCTCCGCAGGCATCGCCTTTAGATTGGCGGGCAAAATTTACTTGCAGGCAAAAAAAATTGTAAAGTATGTGAACCACGAGATGTCTACGGAGGAGGCTGAATTTCAGTCACCCTTATATTCTATATAATTATTGCGAGTTATATGGGTGTCTGAATTTCAGACACTCTTATCTAATTCTATTGCGAGTTATATGGGTGTCTGAAATTCAGACACTCTTATATTCTATTGCGAGTTATATGGGTGTCTGAATTTCAGACACTCTTATATTCTATTGCGAGTTATATCGCTCTCTGAAATTCAGACACCCATATAACTTGCACGCAATATAATATAAGAGTGTCCGAAATTCGGACACCCGTATAGCTCGCAATAGAATATAAGTGTGTCTGAATTTCAGACACTCATATAACTCGCAATAGAATATAAGACTCTATTGCGAGCTATATGGGTGTCTGAATTTCAGACACTCATATAACTATATCTTGCATGATCGTTTATTCAATTTCCAGCGATAGAGGAGTCTGAAATTCAGACACCCCTATATATTACACCAGTTATTCTATTGCACATGCATTTTAGCAGACAGTTCATTTTTTTGTTTAAAAGTTTGGTATTGTGCGGTAAAATGAACACTTATCAGAATATTCGGCAAAAATTAGCTAAAAACATTAAAAATAAGCTTTTTTCTACCAATTCCTTCGATTTTGATTGATTTTGGAAGTAGACTGAACACTCTCAGCACAAATTATAGAAAAATAACAAAAATGTAAGCCAGAAGAATTGCTGCCAGCGAAAATCAAGATTATATATCAATACAATTTCGACACAAGTTTGCAGGAAATCGCCTTTTTCTTTGAAATTTGGGGCAAAATTACGTTGACTTGGCAATTATACCGTATTTTGGCAGAAAAATAAGAAATTTCCGCAAAATATTGCAAATTTGAGTCAAAATTCGAAGTTTGGAATTGTTCAAAATTCTTTGGAACACGTTACAAGTAAAATAAGATAAATACATCCTTTTCATAAATGGCTGACGATTAAAAATTATGTGCATATAAATTGGCCCAACTAGCCTCGTTTCTGGGTAGAAATTCCTTTGAAATCTTAATATGAGTACGAGGCTAGTTGGGCCAATTTATATGCACATAAAATAATTTTTAATCGGCAGCCATTTATGAAAAGGGTGTATAGGATGCTAATTTCAGTCTTGAAAGATTGAAATTAGCTTTTCATATCTCTGAAGTAGGATGCATTGCAGCCCAATTTAATATGTTATTCAATATTTTGGGCAATAAAGCACTCTCTGATTAAACAGCTTCGATTAGAACACTTTATTCAGAGACTTGAAATCAATCCTTTAGCCCTTTACAAAATACCCTTATTTAAACAATAACTATATGTACATGATTTAAAAGTGTTTTTATAAAATGCAATTCAGTTCGCGACTAATTCATTCTGCCTTTTTAGTTCTTTTCGCAGTCCTTTGCTCTTTGCTGCTTTTTGTTTGATTTTAAATTTGCTAATATAGTCTTTTGCATATGAAAAGCTGCGGACCTTTAAATAAAGTTTTATAATGTTTTCCAGGCAAAGCTTGGTAGTTTGTTTGGACAAATCTTGGTTGCATTCCTGCAAAATGTTTTCCCACAATGACTTGAGCAATGGTGATTCAAGTGCATCATTGCATAAGGAATCACAAGGAATTTTCTGCAGTAAGTCTTTTTGCTTGGTGACAAATTGTCGAAATATTACCTCAACAATTTCTACAATTTCCACCAAGTCCTTGCATGGTGTCACAAGTCCACCCCTGCTGCGAGCATCAATATAAGTGTTCTCAATACCAGGGCATTTCATATTTTGAAGTAAAGTCTGGAGCTCGTCATTAGGTTTACTGGAACACTGCTTTTGCTAATATGTACCCAGCAATGTAGGACAAGGGTCCACGTTCGTGTTCACTTAGATCCAGAGACTTGTTACTTGAACCTGAAGTTATTTGCTCACTATTATGGTCAGACTTAAATAAGGCCACTAAATGGTCTGTCATGGAGATCATTACAAGGCTACATAATGGCTGATTTGCACACTTGAAAAGGGCAGATGATGTGGGAATAAGCTCATAGAATTCTGTGAGGAACTTGTCTTGGTTTCGTTTATTGCAAAATCGCTTGTATATTGGCAGCACAGCGTCAAACAAAGAATCGTTTGAGGTGATTTTCGTCAAATCCGATGTTATTTGCTTGTCCCAATAACCTTCATTCGTTATATTTAACTTTATTTTATTCACGATGGAGATTAAACCATCCTTTGTCAGTGCGGGGATGTCTTCACTTGCCTCATATCCTTTATCTCGATGTTTGGAATTCACATGCCTGGTCAAGCCACCTTTCGATTTGCAAATCTTGTCGCAACTATCGCAAGGAAACTGCTTTTCACCTCCTATCTCTGATAGTGCTTCCACGAAATCAGTTTCTATATCTTCTTCGTCCTCTTCAAGAACATCTATGGCAATTTCGAAGTTGAACGGCAACGTTTCCTCGAATAGTCCTTCCTCGTATTGTTCGTCTGCGAGAATCTCCCACTCCTCTGGAACTTTGCTTTCATCGATATTCGCTTCTACTGGTTCAGGAATAGCATAAATAGCCTCCAAACTTTCCTCCATTATTTCTCCTTACATAAACTATTTAGAAACGTCGATTGTTGGCTCCTAATCATGTTAATTTTCGCAAAATTTTGTCAAAACCGCAACACTGTAATATGATCCTATATAATTTCTGATGCAGCCATGCACTAAAGAGATCACGTGACAATTGTTTTGTTTGATCCTCAACATAAATGCCGCCCGTCGCGATTTTGCTTTGAAGTTTACCGGCTAGCCAAACCATCTTATTTTATTAACTGTGAGACTACCAAGAGCTTATGCTGAAACTTGATTTTTTACAATAGTAAATATGAATCTTGATTATTCGATATGTGCAAACGTTGGAGAGGCATATAACATTCTTTTCAATATGGAACAAATAGAACACCAATCCAGACAATAGGATATCCGAAGGGGGTAGGGGGGTTAACTTCTAATTTCCAGTTGTGGGGGTGGTATGGATGTTTTCTGGAATGATCCATTGATAAACAGAGAAAAACAGGATAATGTATTGTCCTAGAACGTAGATATCCTAAATTCCTAATATATTACACACAGTCAGGTTTTAGCAGTGCCGTAGCAAGCTCGATAATTTGGGGGGGGGGCTGATATTCATATATTTGTGTTCACAGACCATAAAAACAATGGATTTCTAAAGAAATTAATAACACAGAACACGAATATATGAATATCAGACCCCCCCCCCAATTATCGAGCTTGCTACGGCACTGTTTAGGTGTCCAAATGGTACACATGACATTAAAAACCTGCACAAGCTTCCCCCTGCCCCCTAAAAGTTGATGTCTGCTGTCACTGCTCGAAATATGTTCTCCTTTTGGAGGATGTGAAGGAGTGGATATTAAAGTTATAAATGTTTATGTAATCTACTCCTTTACATCCTACAAAAGGAGAAAATCGCAACTAAAATTGCAGCAACAATACAACAACTTACTGTGTAATGTTAGAAAATGGGGGGGGGGGGTATTCTGCAATCTAACCTGATCAAAAGTAA